CTTTTAAAGACACACACACACACAGTTAAACATGAAATCATTACAGGGTGTAACTATATATATTGTTGGTAGGGTTACCAGGTCCCCTTGCCATTGCAGTGGGGTGTACATGTTGGGGGGGGGGGCGTTCCAGGATGGGCGGTACATCATGTGCAACATCCCCAATGCAATGACGTAGCACATATATTTCTTTACGCTTGAATGCTTATTGAGTACAGCTTAATCATTCTATGCTGTTAGCTACTGTGAGGGAACACAAAGTTAAATCTTCAGGATAGGGTTGATCTTCTGACTGAGAAACAAGGAAGCATATGTAACAGACTACCAAAATTCCTACTACAGAAGAATCAGCAAGACCTCTATAAAGGGAAGCCCATCCCACAAAAGCTTTTGGAGTTTAAGGTTTAACACACATGCAGACAAGGGTGATCCGACAGACATCATGTATCTGGATTTCCAACAAGCCTTTGTCATGGCTCCTCACCGAAGGCTCCTAAGAAAACTTAGCAGCCATGGGCAAGAGATCAGGCTCTCTTATGCATGAGAATGTGGCTGAACAACAAGGGAGAATTTTGCTTCCATCTGCATCGCTTTACACTTACGTTGAGCCTCATTTGCCACATTGTTGTCCATTCGCCTGGTTTGGAAAAACCTTTTGGGCCTTTTCATACTTCCGCTCTGGTTCTCACTGTTCTCGATAATTTGGTGTCATCCGCAAGTAGGGTCACGCCCAGGGGTCGTTTCGTAGAAAAAGAGCTAGGGGGACTTATTAGCATAACTCATTAGCATATGCCACACCCCCTGACATCAGGGGCCCGGCGGTAGACCTGCAAGGCCGGTGGGAGTGCGAGGAAGCCCCGCCAAGGCCCTCCCTGGCCCCAGGCAGGCAGGGGTGGGGAGAGGCGGGGAGGAAGCAACTTACCCTCCCTCTTCTCCTGCCTCCTCCTGGCTGAATGAGGGCCGGAAGCGGGGCGGCTGGAAGCAGGGGGCAAATAGGGAAGGGGTCAACTGGTGATGACTGTTCAGGAAAGAGGTCCTGGGGCCACGGTGCATAGCACAAGACAAACATTGACACAGTGTGCAGCGGTGATTTTAAAAAGACAAATTTTCATTGTGGTTACTGGGGAAAGGACTGTGACAGAACATCTAGTAACATCATGTCCTCGTGTAGACCTATAGGGGCATTTGGCAGTGTTGTGTCCAGTTCTGATTGGAACATCTTCCTTATGGGAAAAGGCTCAAGAGACAGGGATTTATACACTGCAATGCTCGTATGGATGCCGAGCCTGCGAGAGAAATGAAATCGGAGCTTCTGCCGCCCGCAAGTCCAGCAAAAGGTACCCCGGGAGGCCTGTAACCCTTAGGCCGGCCAGGCATCCGGGTGACCCCTGGAGGAGGTTTCTCTCTCCCATCCTCTGGGGGAGGCGCGGTAGGATAGAGGCGGGGCCGGCCTTGGGAGGGCCTGGGCAGCCGGGCGAGACTTCCGCCTCGTCCTCGCTCTCCGCCCCCGGAGGACTCTCAAGGCAGTCGGGTGAAGCGGAGCCCTTCCAGTTCCAGCGCCGAGGGAGGAGGCCGAGCGGGACCCGCCGAGGCAAGTTGGTCTCCCGAAGCGCTCCCGCGTGCAGCCGGGCTCTTCTCCCGCGCGAAGTGACAGCCCGGGGGGCGCGGAGGAGGCAGGGCAGAATTCAACCGGGGAGGACGCGTGGGCCGCCGCCGCCGGGACTGGGAAGATGACCAATCGGGAGTCGTTGCCAGCTCGGGAGAAGAGACGCTCGGGTGGGGAGGGCCGGAGGGGGGCTCTGCTTCGGTGCGGAAGAAGCTCTCCCCCCCCTCCCTTTGGGGAAGCGAATCCCACGGGAGGGAGGAAGGGAGGTGGGGACTTCGGCTGTCCTGCCCTTGCTCGGCTTTCAACAAGCGACTTCAGGGGCTGTCGCCTCTGCCCCTTTCTTCCCCGCTCTCTTAAGTTGCCTCCCCCTTCGTGGGGAAAGCGGCAGCTCCCTTGGAACGGGCCTGCTTGGCACACCGGTGGTGCAGCTTGAGGAATCGGATCTCAGGTCAGGTTGCGGAACGGAGCCGCCCCACGGCCACAGGGCAGCGTTCAACTCATGCAGCAGGGAGATAGATAGATAGATTAGATTAGATTAGATTAGATTAGATTAGATTAGATTAGATTAGATTAGATTAGATAGATAGATAGATAGATAGATAGATAGATAGATAGATCGATCCAGCAGGTGGGCGGCAGCGGTGTTGTTCTGAAGCAACAGAACCTCGTTGGAGTCCAGGGGCACTTCTAAGACCAACACAGTGCCCTTCTGGGTGTAAGCCTGCACCCTTGGATGGCCATAAAGGTGCCCCTGGACTCCAACGATCTTCTGTTGCTTCAGAACAACACAGCTGCCGCCCACCTGCTGGATCTGTCTCCGTTCATGAGTGCAAAGTGCAATTCTGGGTGCCAGCTGCACACTTGGTTGGCCGTAAAGGTGCCCCTGGACTCAAACTGTGTTCCAGTTAAAGGGCAGGGAGAGGTGTGGAAGGAGGAAAAACTCAGCAAGGCCATTCCCGATGCTGGATTGGTTGAACAGGGCTCCTCCTCTCACACCCCCCTCACTCTGGGCCACAGAGGCCACAAGCCACCCTCTGTTG